AAGGGCAAGTCAATAATAGCAGGATACACTCAAAATAAAACCTTTGGAATCCTGTTATTATTATTATTGTTATTATAGGTTCAGATGACTCAAGTGTTATTGTTTTCTTCTTGCGTTACCAGCCAAGAAAACCAATGACGAGCACATAAAGCTCTGCAAATCTCAGCAGTTTTGGTTCCCACTAACGTTTCTGGAGCAGCTGCGGCACTCGCATAGCTGAGCAGGTCAGCCCTGCATGTGGACTGGGCCACGCTCTGCTTTGTCTTCTGAAAAAAACGAGTATGATTTAAGAGCAGGGTTCACGTACAGCCTACGCTGCAAAACGGAATTAGGCTTTTAAGCAGTGAGGCATGTTACCCCGCAAGGAATTAGTTCAGTTATGTGCTAGTATCTTGGAGTATATATAGTACATAGCACTGATTCGTGGACAGAGAACATACATATTTTTGAGGCAGCTGGTTTTGTTAGAGTGTGCAAGGTGTCCCTTTCCACAGATGTGTTCTGCTGAGCTGTCCTTAAGCTCTTGGTTTCCACCGGAGCAAAAAAATACAGGGTGAAAGTCAGATGAAACCACAAAGTCTTGCCTGTCTCTGAGTCAGGATCATTCACCTGCCTTCCCACCGCCACGATCACGGGGCAGCAACAGCAAAACTTCACATCATCTCCTGCAAAACGTGAGTCAACCTGCATGGACCTGGCGTGACCCTGCCTGCAGGTCGAGGGAGGGGATCCTGCCCCTCTGCTCAGCTCTGGTGAGGCTGCACCTGGAGGATTGGGGGCAGTTCTGATCTCTAGAGCTCCCTTCCCACCTCAACCATCCTGGGATTCTGGGGTTCTGTGAGCGGGGTGTCCTGCCTGGTGTGGAGCTGGCCGGGAGGTTGCACTGCTCTCACCTCCCATCGTGGACTATGATGAGCAACGCTGTGACCACGGAGAACCTCTCACATGAGGAAACATCCATCCTGGTTAAACAAACCAAGGAGTGGGTCCAAAACCTGCTGCAATGCCTTAAATTGAGTAACAGCTGCAGTAACTGCTGAAAGCAGCAGGGACGAATCCTCTGCAATTCCAGACCTGGCAGGAGTGGGCAAAGCTATTTTTTTTTCCCAATTCAGTGTATTTTACACCGTTCAAATGCAGGTGTGAAGCTACACAAAGTGCAGGCTTACCATGATCCACTAGTGACTGTAGTATTTAAAGGAGGAATTTACATTAACAATTTCAATATGATTTTATGTCTGGTTCACACACAGTTTGAATACACTGGTACATTCCTCCCTATGTCAACAGGCCTAAAACAGAACAGCTTGACTTGATTACAAACTGGCTTACGTTAAACCATGCCTAGATGATCAGCCATTCATTGAAAACACAGTGTACGAACTGGCCCAGCCTTTTAATTTACTCTTCGGTGTTTCTGTTGCTCTCTGGAAAAGTAACTACACACTTCTTATTTTCTTCCTACATTTTCTTCCACGCAGGTCAGTTTGATTTCCTTCACTGCCACCAGAATATATCAGAACAGCTTAGAATATATGGATGTGATCCTGCCAGAGTATTAGGATGTCTCCCCTCTGCACTTTTATCAGGACTTTAGCAGCCACCAGGACTTTTCTCCTTGCTGAGGAGGTGAGGGATGTCCTCTGCCATCACAGAGGTGAGGGATGCCCTTCTGCCATCACAGAGGTCCCTGTAGAGCGAGACTTTCTACTCCAAACAGCCCCGCAAGTCCAGCCCTAGCACACACTGAGGAGTGAATTCATTCCTGCCAGGTCCAGGTCTGGAGAAGGAGGGAAGAGGATGCAGGAGAGTGTGGGCACCGGCAGCGTCGTTAGTGAAACAGCCCGTGAGCTCGTTGGGAATGGGAGGTGGGTGCGCAGCTCCTTAGCTGTGGGAGCAGTTAGATGAGCTGGAGCTGAGCTTGGACCCCACCGAGCACCCCAGAGCAGAGCAGCAGGCGGTTCCCCCTCATCTCTGCTACAGAGATGTGTGCTGGGCGACGCTGCAAGGAAAAACTACTGCGGTTGCTCAGATGTCTTCCAAGGATTCTTTCGAAAGAAATATTTCATCAAATTCCCTTATTACCCAGCTACAGAGAAAGGACGTTCGTGTATACAGGCATTCTGGCAGGAGGAATTTGCTTTGGGGCCAGATGTAATTCAGAGTTATTCTGAACAGTGCTCTGCAGCGGCCTGGCCAAGCACAGTAATGCTGATTATTGGGGCTTTCCTGGCTCTCCAGCTGGAGTTGATTTCCCTTAGTTCTCTCTCTCATAATTAATAACTTGTTCCCTTTATGCGTTCTGAATCTTTGCTTTATCTCGAGCGTTTTGTAGAATAGTTTCCAATTTAGTTAATCCGTTGCTTGCCAGCTCTGTGCACGTAGCGGAGCTCATCCAGGCACACGCTTTGGCGACGGACGCAGCTCCCATCCCCGCTGCACAAGCTCATATTCGAGCTGGCATTTTTGTCACTCGCGTTTTGGAGGTAGGAAACTCGCAGCTCGGGCTCCAGCAATGTCAATAATCTGTAAAAAGAAGGATACAGTGCGTACACATATGGGAGCTGTGGGTTCTGTCCTTTAAACAAGCGCAGATTTAGCAAGGAGGGGGAGGGAAAAGGAAGGGAAGCGGAGCCGCATCCCCCCGCTGCCAACGCAGCGTTGGGCCCACGTTCACCCTGTTTAGGTTGCGACAAAACTGAGGAAAAACCAGATGGACTTCAATTCCCCGCTCACAGTTTTTAGGGATATTGGACTTCTGCATCCTGAGGCGTTCCCAGAGCTTGCAGGGGGGATTCGCTCTTTGTGCTCGTTAGTGGGGTGTCGCGTGTTAGTAAATGGTGGTTATCTGGTGTCTAAGCGTGTTAAGGACATGCATAAAGTGTGCCCGAGATGGTCGCACACTAGCAGGTCACAAAGGCAGTGTAGGCTAAGCAGGAAATGCCTTTTCTTGGGCTTTTAACTCCTAGCGCTCTGGCGGGGTGAGCGCAGGGGCTCCTGTGGCCTTCCACAGCGGCGATGACGAGCACTAACCTGCTGGATGCGGCCTGGGCGGCCGCGTAAGCGCCACGCGGCCGGAAGCGGAGCAGGGTGAAGGTCCCGGAATCTCAGAATTCCAGGGTGGTTGAGGTGGGAAGGGACCTCTAGAGATCACCCAGTCCAACCCTCCTGCTCCAGCAGGGACACCCAGAGCACGGGGCACAGGGTGGTGTCCAGGCGGGTTTGAAGATCTCCAGAGCAGGAGACTCCAGAGCCTCTCTGGGCAGCCTGTGCCAGGGCTCTGTCACCCTCACAGGAAAGAAGTTCTTCCTCACATGGAGATGGAACTGCCTGTGTTTCAACTTGTACCCATTACCCCTTGTCCTGTCACTGGCCACCACCAAGAAGAGTTTGGCCCCCATCTTTCCTACATTCTCCCTTCAGGTATTTGTATATGTTGATCAGATCTCCACTCAGTCTTCTCGTCTCCAGGCTAAACAGGCCCAGCTCACTTAGTCTTCCCTCATAAGATAGATGCTCCAGTCCCTTCATCACCTTTGTCACTCACCACGTGAGTTTCTGCTCTCACGACACCAGTTGTTCTCCGGGACATTCGGTTGCTTGTTGAGGGGATTCTTTCCTTTCCTTCCGTCCTCGGAAGGCTCGGAGCAGCGGGGATGCTGTGGTTCATTTTAGAGCCCTGGCTTCCCCACCCCTCGTGCTGCACTGTGACCTTGAGCGCGCTTCAAGTGCCCGACAATTCACCTCTAAAACTCAGCACGATTCTGTGTCTGCCGACTCTGGGACTGCAGTTGGATTGGGTTTTTTTGATAGATTAGTGACAAGAAGGTCACTACAGAGAGTGATGTGTATGACTGAATATTAACTTTTAATAGAGTGCACTGAGCACAGGAGCCGATTAGAGTCTTCAGGAAGCGAGAGCAGTGCTAATCCTGGAAGGACTCCTAAAATCTTCCCTAAGCTGCATTTAATTAAAAGAAAATGAAATACGCAAGAGTTGATGCATGAGTCGTACATTTGTGCATCCCACTCCATGAATGAATCATTTCCCTCTCTTCTCTTCTGACACAGAAATACCTTGCAATCCGTTAAAGATGCTCAGGATTTTTTTTTAGGGCTCCAGCGGACTGCACGTCACTACACGTAACGGAGGAAATAGGTGCTGCGATAGAGCTGTCCTGCTGCAACCACAGCAGTGGCTTGAGGGGGGAGGATGTCCAAACCATGGGGTGTTTATGAGGGGGCATCCTCACTTGTGTTGCTGGTGAGGCAAACATCACCCCGGGTGTTGTTAAATTCATAATGTGGGTTTTTTTCCCTAGTTCCTTATCTCTATACCCCTGTTAAGTGCTTTTGGATTTTGGCAGAGAAAGGCTTGCGGCTCTGGGAGCAAGGAGAAGATTGCTCTGGTGTTGTGACCCCGGGGAGGGTTTTTTTCTTCAGGCATTTCTTTGATGCGTGGCCAGTCTACGATCAAGCAAAGTCAAGATGAAGCCGCTGAGTGATTTCTATCGGTTTTGCCTCGTGTCATCCTCGGGCGGCTGCGCGAGCTGGTCGCGTGTGGACACGAACTGTGACCTCCCTTGGGATGCGCAGGCCGGCCACCCCCCGGTGCTCAAAAGATGTGTGTGACAATGTGTCCCCCAGCAGGCAGGAGAGCCGCGGGCAGAGCAGGCAGGTGCTGGAGCAGAACCCCAGCATGGGGGCACTTTGGAAGTGGCGGAGCTGGTTGTCACCTCCGCTTCTGCGTCCTGCCCGGAGGAGGCCTGGCACGTCACCCCGCCGTCCTCCACATAAATCACCACGCAACATAGAAAAGCAAAATCACAGCGTGGAAATCCAGCCAACGGAGACGGCGCTTCTCCCTGGAATCATGCAAGTGACGGGGGAAAAAAAGACTACTTGGAGGCCAAAGCTGATGTTTGAGGATTTATTGCGAGTGTCAGGGAGCAGGAAGGGAGGAGAGCCCCGGCTCGCGGCGGGACGCGGCGAGCACCCCCCTAGAAGTAGTTGATGACCTTGCGGATGGACTGCACGCTGGGCCTCTGCGCGTGCCACTCCTGGCAGCTGCCGAACTGCCCGCGCTCCACCACGTACATGCGGCCCCGGTAGCCGGGCTTCTCGTAGAGCACCCACCTGAGCACAGGGGAGGCGGGAGTCACCCGGGGAGCCCTCGGGGACCATGGAGTCCCCCTTCACGCTCTTCATGCCGAGAGCGGAGCGAACCGTGAGCGGCTCCCCGGCCGCAGCTCCACCGTGTAGCACACACAAACCAGGGCTCCATAATGCAGGACACAAGTCCTCCAAGCTCCCTGGGTAAATCCTTCTGGACTGTAAGGAAAAACCATCCATACTGCAACAGCTGGAATGCATTTTACCTCCTTCCTAGAGTGGGATTTACCTGCTTCCTAGAGTGGGAATTTGGGTTCTCTATAGCCACACTTAATAATTTTTCTGCTAATAATTCTCACTTGCCTCTCTGATGGTTTCCAACAGAGATCAGGTTTTGGCTCTGTTTTCTTCACTTAATCTCTGCCTCCAGAGTTAATTACTGCTTTCCCTTGGAGTACAGTCAAACGGATGTACCAGTCAACACCACTGTTGACTCTGGTATTCCTGACTTCTTCAGCTAGCTTGACCGGCTTCTCTAACCTGTCTGCCTCCATTTGAAGATCTCCAAGGCAGCTCCAATTCTGGGGGCCAAGTGGGACAAACTTGGCTGCTTTCTCCTCCCTTCATTCCTCTAGGTCGCACCATCCTACAATCCTAAAGTGGCCACAATTTTCACCTCGTCCCTTGGTTTAAATCTCCCATGCCTGTTAATCAAATCAAATCCTTGCTCTGTTAGTGCTACACTGCTGTTTCCACATTATCATTGCTGAAATTCTCATCTCTGCCTTATTCTTCCCAAGGTCACAGGTAAATTTAAAAGGACCCCCCGCTCTTTGTCCCACCTATTGGCTCAGTAAAGACACTGTAGCACAAGTGAAATCTCTGAAATCATTTGGTTTCTGTAGCATATCACTTACTAGGAGCTGAGCTGTGACATCTTGGTTGTGTGAGGTTTCCCAAGGAGAAGCACTGGACAGGGCAAAGGCAGCTTAGCCTCGAAGGCAAACAACATCCCACAACCTCACCCGAGCCTGACACAGGGCAAAAGCTGCAGCCCTGGCAGAAAAGTTGCAAATCAAGCCATCCATGGGCATTATAAAGAAAATGCAAAGGGTCAGGGCATTTAGCTGAGCTGCTTTACACGTTCCCAGGCACACTTTGACTATCGTCTGAGAGGACACCGGGCTGGACTGTGGTGCCCCCCACAGCACCAACAGAGCTGGCAGGCTCCGTGCCCCCTGCATGGTGGCCCTCGGTGTCACACTCTGCTCTTCCACAACCCTTTTCTTTGGCCTTAGCCACACAAACGTGTTTATTCTTTGGCACTTTTTGCAGCCAACTTATACTCTGGCCAGAATGACAGTTGTCCTCAGTTGACTTTCCTTTGAAACTCATTTTCCAGAGCATGACACTGCCCAGTGTCCAGTCCGGGCGCCACGTGCCCAGCAGACATGTCCCTCCTGGCATATCCTGTGGACACTAGCAGAGGGGGTGCTAAGCTCTTTGGTTTAGTTAAGAACAGGTTATAAAATCACCCTCCTTCTTTCGAATCCACCCTAGTCTCCTTCAAAAGGCGCTCACGACTCTTTTCTCGCCATCCCTCTCCTATTTTTGCATAACCGGTGGCCTCTCTGCTCCATCAGCATCTGCCCCTCACGCACTCCTGAAAAGGCAGGACCTGCTCCTGCCACTCATCCCCTCTGCTGAGGCTGTCCAGCATTCCTGGCAGCTCCACAGGGAGCTAGTCCAGGGATTCTCCTCTCCTGGCCGCAGGACATCGGTGGCCCGACAGGACAGGGGAGTCCTTCTAGCTCCACTCTGCTCCAGGGCATCTTGCAGCAGCTCCTGGAGCCAGGGGGATAGAAGTGGGGGTGAGGCAGCCCAGCAGAGCCATGTCCTGCTCAGGCCCTGTGTTTTCCTCTCAAGGCACCCGGCTCGTGACCACAGGACAGGGCCCCTGGGTCAGTGGAGGCAGATCCATGGTAAGAGCCCACTGGTTGCTCTCTCTGCTTAGGGGAAGGCTGCAGGAAAGGAAAAAAGCAGAAGAGCAGAAAGGCTCGAAGCGTGTCGGCAGGACATGGTGATGAGTGAAGACTTGTACAGCTTATTTAGCTGATCCTTTACTTCCTAAAATTTACGTTCTGTGAGGCCATCAGCAACAGAGGAAATCAAGTTATTCAGGAGCCCAAAGAAAAGACGATCCAGGCCTCAAGCCCAGCATGGTGCAGCTGGTTCAGGCACACAGCAAACAACCCTCGGAAATGTCTCTGCTGTGTTTCATTAACGTATAAACCCAGAGGACACTGGAATAAATCTCGCATGAAACCAGCCCAGGCCCTATAAGCCAAAACTAGCTGCTCCCACTGAGACTCCTACGGAAGTAAAACCCTCCCTGTAGCTGCTCCATAAAAGATGTTTTTGTCGCTAGGGGAAGAGACAGAAAGAAGCGTGAAGGAGAAATCTGCCATGAAGGAACCAATGGTCTGCGCAAGGCTAACCATTTCCAGCAGAAAAACACCCTCTCTCTTCCTCAAATCCAGACGGTGGGTCGGATCCATGAGAGAGTCTCAAAGCAGGTTGTGACAGGGCAATCCCGTGGGTTCAGTTTGAGGCAAATCGCTCCCAGCACTGCTCAGATACTGCCACAAAAGAGCGCTCTGAGGGTGCCAGGCCCAGCAGGCGCCAATGGTGACAAAGAGGCAATGTCTGACTTCCCACTTGGAAATTTCTTAGCCTGGCAGCAAGAACTCTACACAAGCCAGGCGCTTGTACACTTGTACACTTCAGCAGAATAAATGTTGGGGTTGGTTCCTTCAAGTCATGGTGCTGTAGTTTAGAAAGCCCTTTTATTGGGTATTTTCTCCCAGACTGTAAAGAGAATAATTGACTTTATAGAGTTATTATTGCGACCCTGCCTTTTGTGAGCGACTGAGCCTCCAAAGAGGAGGAGTTGCACGTGTTCTCCCATAATGCAATGTATTTGTGATACGGGAGCAAAACTACTGGTGGGAATAGGAATCTGGATGGGAAAACTCCTTTCCCATCCAACTGCAAGGGCTTCAAGGGAGGCAGCAACATCTTAGAAACTGTGAGGAAATGGCTCTGATTTCCAGCAACGTCTGAGTCCCAAGCACAGAGCGGGGAGGCGCGGGACACCCTCAGCCCCAGCGAGCAACGACGCTGACGGACGCTTCCCTCTGGGAATGTGTTTCCAACGGAGCTGGTATCACTTCCCACAGACCCAGCTGGTAGCGCGGGCAGCTGCACTTGCCATCGGACACGGATTTTGGAGAAGAAGGGAATATTTCTGTATCCAGCATATGTGGTGTAGGGGGAACTAGGGGAGTAATTGGGAAAAAATCACAGATGGGAATGACAAAAGCCCTCAGTCTCTACGGGAGCAGCTTGGCCTAAAGGACAGGGAGTTGGAGAAGGAGCCAGCTGATTAGGGCCCGCTTGGGTTTATCAGACACTTTGTCTTTTGAATATGGGAACGAGGAGATATTCCCAGCTCCAGAGAATGGCTGGAGACGCGTGGATCTGCAGAAAGTGCACGGTTTTGTAACAGCTAGCAGCAATCTCGCACTAGAAGCGGGCAGGATGGGAGCAAAGCAGGCCAACCTGCTGCACATCTGCTTTTAGTGCACACCAACTAAACCTGACCCAGTTTCAGCACCAGCTCCCAGCCCCCGAGATGCTGGAAGCAGCCCATGGTTGACGCTGCTCTCAGCCGCGCTGAGCTCTGCTCCTCACAAGGGGCATCTTGCACCGAGATGTTGACTCCTGCATTCAGCCAGGTGAAGCAAGACCAGGCTCGGGGTTAATGTCACCTCTTCCAGCTCTCAGGCTCTCTCAAAGCCCTCGTGCCTCTGCTGCTTCGGCTCTTCCCATCCCTCTCGTCACCTCTCCACAGCGTCATCTCCCCCAACGGGACCAAGCAGTGGTTTAATGACACTTACAGACCCTACCCACTTCCAATGACAGTCTTTTCAGGGCCCAAATGTAATGCTGCTGCCATCCCTTCAGGACTTTCTTGCTTCCTTGAAGCTGCTTCAAGCCTTTAAGAAGTCCTTTAATGGCAACACAAGCAGGCAAACAGGCTAGACTCAGGTGTGAGGGACAGCAAACTTCATGGCTCTTCCGTACTTGGAAGGGGGAGAAAAATCAATCCGAAAAGGTTAAGGGCTCGAAGGCTTCTGGATAACATCTCAATTTCTCAGGTTCTCTCCAGCAGGGATGTGTATGGGAAATAACTGCTCACAAACTCTTGTCAAAGTACAGAGCCTCTCTTGGCTTTATATTGCTGGTCCTCCCCGCGATGCCCCAACACCTCCTGTGTCAGTTCATGGCACTAACCATGTCCCTGGCGGACACCCACGAGCCGGTTGCTGCTTCCTTCCTTTGGGAATTAGCATTGCCTGACCCTGAGACTATTTTTTTTTTTGGAATCAGAGATGTTGAGCTGGGGTCCTGCCTGGCACTTGCTGTCAGGACGTTACAGCCTCAAAACAGCTTCTAGAATCTCTGTGGAAAGCCTGGACTTTTGAACCCTGTTCTTGCGATCTTCTGGCTTGGGATCTTCTGTGCTAGAGTCACGTATGTGATAATTTTGATCCGCAGTGGTGAAACAGTTACAGTCCCTCACCAAGTTCAGGAATTGGGAATGCAAACAGCCCTTGCTCTCCCAAATCCACTACTGTCGAACTGGAAGTTGCTGCTGTCTCTCTGAGACATAATTTAATTTTGAGGGGAAAATGTTGCTGCCTAATTTTATCTGTCAGGAAAGGGGACGATGTTTCTAGTGCCACAACAAGCCTTGGAGGTGCCGTTTAGAAAGCAAAAGTCCTGGTCTGCACAGCTCCAAGATGCCTTCCCCAAGCGCTGGGATGTTTCCCCAGGCCAGGCCCATAGGAGCCTCTGGGCAGGTTTTAGGGAGGTGTTTGGAAATATGCATGGAAACTTGAAAAGGAGAAGGAGAGGGAGAAGGAGACATGAGTGTTTTTAGGTGTCCTGTTTCACCCACCTTGACGAGGTGTCTTGTAGCTCATGCTGAGCTGTCACCCTCTAAAACTCACACCCCTTTGAAGCAGCTCTTCTTTGACACTCCCTATCTGAGGCACCAAGAGACGCCTTTCAAACCCACATCCTTAATGAGCAATTTTAGACCTGCTCCAAGCCCCCACCGACATTGCCAGGGTTTTCCTGACACCGTTTCTCCGCGTCCCCTCCGTGCGCGATCAGGAGGCGCGTGGGGAAGGGCGGCCGCGCTGCAGACGGAGCCGCCCCGCAGTTGCATCCCTGCAGGTGCAGCACTACTTACGCGCCGTCGCCGTACACCTTGATGGCGTTGACGTAGCTCTTGTCCCAGTCTTGGCCCTGCAGGAAGGAGCAGTCCTCGGTGAACTCCAGGCTGCGGCCGCTGAAATGGTTCCCCTCAAATATTTCGATTCGGTAGTGCTCTCCGTGCTGGGGACAGAGGGATTTGAGGAAACCCAAAAAAATGCAACAAATGATTTAAAAAATATTTTGTAAGACAATGGAGAAAAAAAAAAAAAAAAAAAAGCAAGGGTGTTTTGCAACAGGAGTGACAACAGCAGTGCCAACACACACACCGAGTGTGACGAAGTCTTGCTATGTCCCAGACAGCAGCACTGGACAAAACGACATCCAGAAAACGCTGCTGGGTGCAAACATTGGTACCTCTCTGCATCTGCTTTCACACACAAACAACCTGCTCACGGGACATCATCGTGCTCGGCCACACAGCCCCCTCTCTTATCCCTGAAGTTCCCCCCGCCAGACACACCGTCCTTCACAAGTGGCACCTCCAGAGCCTCTGCCAAAACCAAAACGCCACCCATGAAGCGGTGACTGCTTACACGAGGGCAAGTCAAGAAAATACGAGTGCAGTGGAAAAAAAATAGATACAAAATATGCAAAAAATATTAAAGTATTTCCCTAAAGCAATGACACTGCCTGCAGTTCCACTCGTGTCTGTGGTTACTTACATGCACTGTTGTGATTTAAGGGAAAAAAAGAGAGACAAGAAAAAGGGGCATCCCCAGAGCCGCGGCCGTGTGAGAGGGGGCAGCTCTTCAGATCGGCTGCTCGGATGAACCGCGTTCCCAAAAGAAATCACTCATTGTCCCAGGGATCAGGGGTGATGTGGGAAGAACTAAACCAGATGGGTTTTTCTTTACTGCTTTTCCATCTTCCCAGTTAAACCTTCCTCTGGGCAGCATTTGTCAACAGCTTCACCAGGCTCTGAAGGGGAGGGTCTCGAATTTGGGACAGAATTCCTCTTAGTGCTCACTGACTCCGTTTGGGGCCAGCTCGGAGCGCGGCACCGCGCGCCCCACTCACCATCCCGACGGGCCGGCAGGAGCCCAGGTGGTCGCCGTGGCCGTTCCAGCGGCGGAAGTCGGGGTAGTCGCCGCGCTCCAGCACGTACTGGCGCCCGCGGAAGCCGCCATGGTCGAAGCAGACCCAGGCGCCGCTGCGGACGCGGATGGAGTTGACGCGCGGCGGGAAGCCCCTCTCCTGGAAGCTCTCGCAGGCCCCGCACACCTCCAGCGCGCGCCCGGTGAAGCACTTGCCCTCGTAGAAAGCGATCTGCAGCGAGCAAGGGGGAGAGACCTTCCCTGCTAGGATTTCCTCTAGTTTTCTCTCTGGTGTTTGTTTCTCCAAGAACCACGGGGCATCCCATTTTGGTGCATGCTGCCCTCCCCGTGCCTCCATCTGCTGTCAGGATCATGGCTCCTGCATCCCACGTCCACCCCAGAGGAAACTCCGGCCCTGCGCGGGAAGCCGAACGCTTGGGTTTTTACTTACTTTTCCTGTACTTTGAGACATTTGCTGCTGGCTGCTCTCCAAAACCCAGCGGCGAAGCCCAACCGCGACCTGCAGGGAGGATGGGCACCCGGCTATATAGGAGCAGGCAGACGGGCTGGGAGCGCGAGGACTTTCCGGCAACGCGGCGGCCGCAGCGGGGGCTTTGCGCGGCTCTGCTTAGCAGGCAGAATTTCGGGTCGCGGGGCCTGCTGAGTCCGGGGTTTTGATTTAGGGCAGGCGATTTAACAAAAGATTTGCTTGGCAGCGCTTTGGTCGACAAGCGGTGCACGTTCACCACTCCTTTGGAAGGACCTTTCTTTCATTTATTTATTTATAAGAAAATAAGAGAGCAGAGAATGATTTAAAAAAAATCTGATTTTTCTGTATTTGGTTTGATTCCCTTTGCTAGAAGTCAGCGGGTCCGGCCTTATGGCCATTTTTACCAATGTGCCCATCTTGCAGTGCCATAACTTGAGGTTAGAGGGATTTTGACTGGTGCCCTTGGCCACGGGGTTTTATCTGCTCTTGAGTTTCGACACGTTAAGCCCCAG